ACTGTACAGATCTGTGTGTGGTGGCTCTGATGTTCAGGTCTGCAGGTTTGTATGTGGCAGCTCTTATGTTCTGGTGTGTTCAGGTCTGCAGGTTTGTGTGAAGAATCTCTCAGTCGTCCAGGTAGAATCAATGACAAAAGGAGAAGTTCAATTTGTCAACTTGACAAAGGTTTATTTTGGTCAAATATGTTTCACAGCTCGTCCAAGCTGCTTCAGGAGATCAGTTCAGACGCTGGAGGACAATCCAATACCAATAGGCCAAACTAACAAACACAAACTGTAAACAAGTAGGAGTGTTAGTTTCAGAGTAGTTTCAGTGTAGTTAGCTCCTCCCTTCAGACAGATGTAAGACAGTGTCCAGCAGCTTCTGACCAGAACTGAAGAAGCAGCTTGGATGAGCTGAGAAACATATTCAATAAAAAAAACAAAAACTTTTGACCAGTTGATAAACTGAATTTCTCCTGTTGCCTGCAGGTTTTTTAAAGAATTTGTCTCTGTTCCACACTGGGTTCATCTCAATATCACCAGAGTAATGAGCAACAAAGACGAGGTTCCATGTTTAAAGCTGCGCTGTGCAACTTTTTGGTTGAGGGTTCTTGTTTCTATGGATATCTCATTGTTCTGCCTGGAATGTTCCACAGTGTGACTTTAAACTGCTCTACTTTATATTCATTCAATTACAGGTGGTTTTATAGCTCAAAAATACCAAGAAGAACAGATATTTTTACTGTGAGTGGGTCACCTCTCCACAGATCTGACCTGTAACGTGGTCTGGTTTGGTCTCCATGAAGAAAGATTTAATACCATACTGAGAAACATTCACTGCTTGAGACAAAGCAATAACACCTCCATGAAGAAAAACATCAGATCGACCCTTCACCAGAAAAGTTACAACATCACAATGCATCTTAAAGAAAAGTATTCTGTAGACCAACTCATACTTTGGTGCAGTTTGCAGCTTGTTTGGCTCAGGGTGGTTGTGTAAATTGATTTCTTTTTGGAGATAATAACAACAACAATAAAGACCTTTACACAGACTGTTCCAAAAGCGCGAGACATTTTTTCAGACCCTTCTTGGCTACTAGCACAACTCCTAATAACCCAATGTGTGTATTGTGACTGGCCCAAATACCTGAACAGAACACTTTGCTTATGAGATAAAGGAATTCAAATTCTTTACCCAGTAGAAAGGACAGTTCAATTCTAAAGAACAGAATGTGGAAGATCCAGATTTGTACATTCACTGCTCCCTTTACTCTCAGTAACTCAAAGAAACTGCACAGGAAGTTGTTGACTGCCTTTTTAACTTTCAGAGAATATTTTTCATGAATTTGTTGTGTGAATGTTGGAGATATGAGCTTACCGTGCACTAACTGAAAATTCCACTAATATCTATATTCTATAAGAGCCAATATTTCGCTGTTTTTCGCTCTGTTTATGTAGTTTCCTCATCAAAAACAGACCTGAAGTTGCGTTTTGTTTCATTCACACATTTAACACAAAAACCCTGCAGATTTAGGCTGTTCTTCTCTCAAATGATAAACACTCTGTTCCGCCTTGTGATGTCATGTGGTAATACAGGAAGTGCGCCACTGTGTTTTTAAACTCCACACACCATCACGAGAATCATTTACATGATTTCAGCCCTAGAATTACTCATCTCTACCCAATTTAAGGTAAAAGGTCTGTTACCTTTTGCCTTTAGTTCAGTTTAGTTAAAAATACAAACTACCTCTTCCTGATGTCACGAGGTGTAACAGAGCATTTTGAGCTTTTGAGATTGTAAGAATTTATCTTTCATGTACATCTCATAGATTCACACTGACTCACAGTAGCTATAGTAACACGATCATCTTCCCTTGGCATACCATTGGGATTCCATTACCTAAACTGTAGCATATTGCTGACTAAATGCTGCTTACTGGCCTTCTTAGTCTCAAATTGTTGACTACTTGGTCCCAATGGTCTTCATAGTCTCTAAATGCTGTCTAACTGGTGTCTACTATCCTTCATAGTCTCTAAATGCTGTCTAACTTGTGTCTACTGACCTTCATAGTCTCTAAATGCTGTCTAACTGGTGTCTACTATCCTTCATAGTCTCTAAATGCTGTCTAACTGGTGTCTACTATCCTTCATAGTCTCTAAATGCTGTCTAACTGGTGTCTACTATCTTTCATAGTCTCTAAATACTGTCTAACTTGTGTCTACTGACCTTCATAGTCTCCCCACACTTACTTTATAAACCTCCTCCCTTGAAAGCAGAGTCAAAGGGCTTGAACACTCAAAGTTCAGACTATGTTCACGTTTGAAATCATACTATGCTGACTTTTTGCATCCCCCCTGGCCCGTATTGTTGATGGTAAATAAACTTCTCCTGCTTAAGACATCTCATTGGTCTTCAACCTTTTACTTCCACCCTTTCTTGGAGAAGATGAAAACTTCAACAACATAAATGTAGACAGATGATAAAGGGTAATAATAAAGGGTTACTCAACCATGTGTGAATGAAACAAAACTTAAAAACTCCAGGTCTATTTTTGATGAGGTAACATTAGAACATGACTTAATGCCTACAAGAGTTTGTTTTGTGCAATATAAGACCTTTAAACTCAGCTATGCATTTTCATGTACTGCCTCACATCTGTTTTCTGTGGGGGCATTATGTGCGTGAATGAGATGCTGCTTGCTCTCCTGTGTAAAGTATAGGTGCCATTATAGATGCGATGACACGGCCGCTGTGTTGACGTGGAGCCTTGGATCAGCTCTTGTACACGATCTGCAGGGCTGCTTCTCCAGGTTTAAGCCATGTGTGAGTATAATCAGCGATACTTTAGCCTTGGAGCAGAGCGTTTATATTCAGATGTACTCTGTGGTGGATGAAGTACTCAACGTTGTGACTTAAGTAAAAGTAAAGTAGAGATACAGGGCCAAAAGATAACTCAAGTAAAAGTAAAAGTAGCAAAGGAGAAATTCATTTCTGTCAACTGGACAAAAGTTTTAAGGTTTTTTTGTCTGTTTGTTTTTTGATCGAATATATTGCTTCTTCAGTTCTGGTCAGATTTCTGGTGGATACTGCCTTATATCTACCTGAAGGGAAGAGCTAACTACACTGAAACTACTCTGAAACTAAAAGTAAAGTAAAAGTATCACATGAAAAAATCTACTTAAGTAAAACTCTTGAAGTGCAAGTTTAAAAATGCACTTTAAGAGTAAATGTAAAAGTATTTTACAGAGATTTTTTAGCACAGTTTAAGCTTTGAATGTAGTGATTTTGATCTGGAGCTGTGGAGCTAAGTCTCAAGTCCGAGTCAAGTCCCAAGTCAAATACAGGAAAGTCCAAGTTGAGTCTTGAGTCACTGGCCCATAAGTCCAAATCAAGTCCATGTCGTCTGCTTTGAGCTTCAAGTCACTTCAAGTCTTTAAACCAAAGTACCAGATTTTTGCAATTTATCTACATTTTAAACTAAACTGTTCTTTAAAAAGTCGTGTGTCCATACCGGTTTATCAAAACCTGATCCCTGATCCCAGAAGTTCAGCGGGGTCGGGTCTGGTCAGAACTTGGATGGAGACCACTGGGAAAATCAGGAGCCACAGGGGGGCGCAAGTCACAAAAACTGTCACTGTGTCCTTAGGCAAAACACTTCACCCGCATTACCTAATATGAAAGTGGAGTGTGTGTAAGTGTTGGTGGTGATCGGAGGAGCCTATGGCACAGATCGGTGGCCTCATTTCCATCATTTCCAGCTGTGGCTACAGTAGTATCTTCTTATCACCACTGAGTGTGGAGAGAATGAATAATGCTCTGTAAAGCGTCTTTGTGTGTCCAGAAAAGCGCTGTATAAAACTGATGCTTTATTAAGTAACTTTTTTTTTTTTTTTTTCTATAGTACTTTTCACAGACATTTGTCATAAAGCTGGTTTACAGAGCATTAGTATATAATTAATATTACTATTGTAGCCACAGCTGCCCTGGGGCAGACTGACTGAAGTGTGATTATTATTATTACTATTATGGTATATTTATATTTATATAGGAGTATTTATATAAGAGTTGTAGAAATGCAAATTTTTCCTTTTGAAATACCTTTTGAAATGTCTTGACAAGATCTTAGAGTGAATCATTACGGTCACAACAGACAGAATTCAGATTTAAAAGTGCTAAATAAGTTATTTTATCTGCACTGAAATGAGAGGATCGTCTTCTACATAGTTCACTCTGTTTTACTGTATTGTATTGTGTATTACTGTAGTATATTTGAGGACACCATCTGACAGTACTTCATTTACATCCAAAGTAACAAACAGAGAAGTTGGAGGGACATGTTCCAGCTTGTTCCTGTAAAATTAAGCATTGCATTTATCAACTGTAAAGAGAAAAGTATTTTCTAAAAACATATCCTTTTTTAGGAGAAGCAGCAAGACTTCATTTTATGAAATTAAGTTTCAAGTCCTAAAAATTGTGACTCAAGTCTGACTCGAGTCCAAGTCACGACCTGCAGGTCCCCACCTCTGACCAATAGTAACACATTTCATTCTTTTAACCTTAACCTAACCTTTAAAGGTGAGTTGTAATGTAGTGTGATGCAACCTGCTTGTCTCCCTTGTGATTTAATCTATACTGTGGAACATTCTAGGCAAAGCAATAACATTTCAAAGGAGACAAGCAGGTGGCGGACCCTCCACTTGTTACGCAGTGCAACTTCATATCCCAAAAAATAAAATAAAATTAAATTAAATAACTGATTCTCTTCCAGTAAATCCAGCCGAGGCCCCCTAGCGGTCTGTCGGGGCCGGTCTACGCGCAAAGGCTGCCAGAAGCGCGCCTGTGCCCGCGTGCGTCCAGAGGAGCACGCGCGTGTGTGTGTGCCTCCGCGTGCCTCTCCCCCTCCGCGTGAAGACTCCGGCGCGAGCATGTGGATCTGACAGAGGAGCGCCACACTTGTGTCACATCTCAGGAAGAAATCGCACTTTTGGCCGCTCGGTTACGCAGCGCACGTACAATGGACATCTACGTCTCCTCTTTGTCTCCGGGGTTGGATATCGGTACGGGATGCTTTCTGCTTGTTGTCGGTGAGTCAAAAGTGAAATCCCGTTTATTTTTTTCCCACTTTACAAACGATAGTAAAAGATGGAAAGAAATTACGCGCTTTGGCACACGCGTCCAATGTTGCGTGTGCGTAAAGATGGCACAATTATACAAGTTAGCACCTGGAATTCAACTTATTATGAAATATATTTACAATAACTCTACTAAATGTGCAATTATTGAGCTTTTCTTTTAGATTTGTGATTCCTGTATTCACGTAGTTTTTGTCATTTTGATTTATTTTGTAGTTTTGTATTCAGTTTGAAAAGCAACAACACTGACACGTTTTAATTGACTCTGGTGATGATTAATTGTCCGTGGACTTATTTCATTCTGTTTGGACGTGTAGGATAGTAGCAGGCGTATCAAGAGATAAGAGTTGATGTATGGTGAGCGCGTTTGGATCAGCTGAGCGTGAAATTGAACGGTAGCTCGGTTTTTTTGGTTGCGGAGTGGAAACGGTTCGGTCAGGTGTAACCAAGTCCGTGTTGACATGCTGCTCACGCGTGGATCTTCTCGTGTTTGTGTGTTTTGGGGCTTTTTTTCCCATTAGAGAAGCGGCGTGTGTTCCGTACGTGGAGGGACTTGGAGCTCTTATCGCTTTTGTCGTGTTTTAACCTCTGGAAGTCAATGAACAGACGCGTTATTTTTATTGGGACAGGGCATAAAAAAAGGCTAACCGTGGGAAACTGTAGGGAAAACGAATGTCAGAGTGGATGTGGTAAGGCATGGAGGGACGGACTAGAGAATGCTCATCTGTAAACTCTTACAACTGCAAAAATTAGTTTTTACGCAAAATTGACTCTGGTGAGCTTGAAGTCACGTTCTAATGTTGTTCCCTCCTCAAAAACAGACCTGGACTTGTTTCATTCACACATGTTTGAGTAACTCTTTATTATGAGTCTGTCTACATCTCCAAAGCTCAAAATGCTCTGTTCAACCTTGTGATGTCATGAAGTGGTAGTTTTCAAGTTACACTGCCAAAAACCAAAAAGTTGAAAAGACTTGAATTAAGAGAGTTTCTTCATAATTTGAGTAAACTTCACTTGGCAAGTCCAATGAAATAAGAGCTTTTGGACTTAAAATATGAAAATGCATCGTGCTACATTTAAAATAAGAAAAACAACAACTTTTTGCACTTAAAATAAGAAACTAAATCTAACGTTTCTTAAATTAAGAAAAACACCCTCATTCCATTGGTAGATCATTTGAATCGACTCAAATAAAGTCAAATGTTCTTAATTTAAGTAGGGATGTAACGATATCCAATTCTCAAGATACAATATCATCACGGTACGATATTTTTTGTGATATCGTGGGAAAGCTCACGATATGGTGGTGAGGCTCACGATTAGGGATGTAACGATATCCAAATCTGTCGTTACAACATTTTCACAATATACTGTACATCTCACGATACAATATTTATTGCGATATTTTGTGGAGGCTAAACAACTAAAAATGCCTTGACAAGACTTAATCCAAAGAACTAAGACTTAAAAGTGTTAGAACTGTTATTTCTTCTTGTAATATGCACTGAAATGGAGCAAAGGATCATGGTCTATGTAGTTCCCTCTGTCTTTTTTGAGTTATTGCTGCACCATAACTCTTCATTTAAGAAAAGAGACTTGTGATTCGATATATTGTGATGGTCCATGATATTATTGTGAGAACTTTTGACGATACAATATCACGATATTTCAGTTATTGTTACATACCTAAATTTAAGTCATTTTTAACTTACCTAGATGTTGTTTTTCGTTCATTAGAAATTGGCAATTCCAGGGCTGAAATGATCCAAATGATTCTAGTGAAGGTGTGTGGAGTTTAAAAGCACAGTGGAGCACTTCCTGTATTACCACATGACATCACAAGTTGGAACACAAGGAGCGTTTTCTGCTTAAGAGAAGAACTCAGCCTAAATCTGCAGCATTTGTGTTAAACATTTGTGAAAGAAACAAAACACAACTCAAGGTCTGTTCGTGATGTGGAAACAACATTCGAACAAAAATATGATCGTGTATCTCACTTTTTAATATTTCAAGCATCAATGAAATAGTGAGACAATCTCTAAAAGGAGAGAAAAATTAAAAAAGGAACAGGTAATTGCCGTAGTATCAAAACATTTGTGACAATCTGTGACAAAATGACAATATCAAATGTATTATTTAAAGGTGCATTGTGTAACTTTTCGGGTGGAGGGTTCATCAAATGCTTTTCTCCATGGAGATGTTATTGCTTTGTCTTGAAATTTTTAACAGTCCAGACCAAACTAGACCATGTTACAGGTCAGATCTGTGGAGAGGCGACCCCGCTCACAGTCACAATGTCTGTTTTGTAGGTATTTTTGAGCTCTAAAACCACCTGTAATTGAAGAAATGTAAAGTAGAGCTGTTTAATGTCACACTGTGGAACATTTCAGACAGAGGAACAACATCTTCACGGAGAAAAAACATTTGACAAAGTTACGCAATGCACCTTTTAATTAAAACTATTAAAAATGACCTAAAGATTTGAGTGACAATTGATTAGATTAGATTTATTTATTGTCATTATATGAAATACAGCAAAACTTCGACAGAGCAAATCTGTAGCAGGAAAAATGAACAAACATAGACACATCCTCACATCCATACCAATAAAAAAAACATTTAATAAATAAAATAAATAAATTATTGCACTGAGTCCCTTCAGGCCTTGATGTTATTGTCTTTTTCCGTCTGTCTTTTTTTTTTTTTGTGTGTGTGTAGTTTTGTGTAGTGTGTGTGTGGCATCAGGGTTTTGTTTTGGTTTTGTAAAATTTCAAATAAAAAAAAAAAAGAGAAAAAAAGGGAAGGAAAGAAAATAGTCTTCCTCCAAAAACAACTAGTCTCCCAAACAAGAGTAGCTTCGAAAATGATTTGTCTAACTTCTGTGGTACATTTTATTTCAATTCAATTTTATGTCAATTCACGTTTTTTTTAAATATTTGATCCACAACCAACACATTTACATACACATTTTAAGACATTTTTTAAGCATTTTTTTTAAAAATATCATCTAATTGTGTTATAATGCAAAAAAAAAAAATAAAATAATATGCGATGAGATATGAGAAATGAGATGCATTTTTGTCTAAATCAACCACTCCTATTAAAGATGCACTGTGTAACTTTAGGGCTGAGGGACTGTCACCTTCTTGTTTCTATGGAGATGCCATTTCTTTGTCTGGAATGTTCCACAGTGTGACATTAAACAGCTCTACTTTACATTTATTCAATTCCAGGTGGTTTTAGAGCTCAAATATACATTGAAATACAGACATTCTGACTGTGAGTGGGGTCGCCTCTCCACAGATCTGACCTGCAACTTGATCTGGTTTGGTCTCGATTTAATACCATACTGTGAAACATTCCAGACAAAGCAACAACATCTCCATGGAGAAAAATATTTGACGGACCTTCCACCAGAAAAGTTACACCTTAAGTTGCAGCTTAAACTCTGACGATCGTGTTTTTGTAGCTCATCTTTCTTTGTCTCTTTCTTTGTTATTTCTGAACTCTGCCGTGTACTCTTGAATTATGAACCTCTATATTTTCACAGTGAACACGCAAGAAAAACAACAGTCTGTACAGTAGCCTTCTGAACTCTTCTGTCTCATCTCTCCAGTTTATTTGCGCTGACACTGAATTCATAGTGTTGGCACAGAATCTTCACTGTAACCAAATCAGACACTGAGTTACATTTTTGTATTGTGTGGTTAGTTTTGTGTATGCAAAAATACGCCAAGCACCAACTGAAATTATTCCTATATTCTAATGTTGTTTCTGAATAATGGCATTTGTTTATTAAAATATGCTCTTATGTAAGGACCAGTCTCAAAGTTTACTGGAGAAGTGAATGTTCCACAGTCTGGCATGAAACCTTTATATCTTGCATTTATTAAAGGTCCTGTATGGCACAAAAGGGGCCCATCTCATGCAAAATCAACTTTTCAGAGCTTTCTACCTTCTAAGAATGATGTGTGGGCCTTGTATTTGTCGCCCAAGTGGTTTTTAGATTGATTCTGCTTTTTTTTTAAACAAATTGCGGAGTATTTCTGCCACCCTCCCACGTGACAACGAACTAAAGCTGCTACAACGATGACGCTGCAGATACACCTATGATACGTTTGATGTAGCAGAAAACACTTCACACTCAGACCCACTCAGACACAGGGAGAACATGCAAACTCCACACAGAAAGGCCTAATGGACCCAGGGATTGAACCCAGAAACTTCTTGCTGTGCGCATGAGCCACCTTACCGCCAATGTGGTCGTACCGGTTTGTCAAAGTCTGATCCCGTCAGATCTCAGAAGCTCAGTGGGGCAGGGCCTGGTTAGTACTTGGATGGAAGACACTGGGAAAATCAGATGCCACAGGGGGGCGCCAGTCGAAAAAAAAAAACAAAAAACTGTTATTGTGTCCTTAAGCAAGACACTTCACCCACATTGCCTAGTATGAAAGTGGTGTGTGTGAGAGTGATGGTGGTGGTCGGAGGGACCGCTGATTGACATGGCAGCCGCGCTTCTGTCAGTCTGTCTCAGGGCAGCTGTGGCTACAATAGTAGTTTACCGTCACCGGGTGTGGAGAAAAAGAATAATGAATCTATAAATGCTCTGTAAAGCATCTTTTTGACACACGTCTGTGAAAAGCACTATGTAAATAAAGACTTACTTAGTTACTTACAATGTAACGTTATAGTTTTCACGTTAACAACCTATTTTACCTTTTCTTCAGAGATTGGCAATTTAAGATAAGATAAGATAAGATAAGATATGCCTTTATTAGTCCCACAGTGGGGAAATTCCAGTGTTGCAACGCACAATTTCAGAACAGCAGGAAAAGGTAACACAGATAATAAATAATAGCTTAAAATAATTTAAAAATAGACTTAAAAATAATTGCACATGGTTATGATTGACTGGTACATGTTCAGTGTTAACAGTGTTTGTTGTAAAGTCT